AAATTAGGTGACCAACGTTTGAATTGGGTTTCTACGATACAATTTCATGTAGAGATCTGGAGCCCATCTGCACAAAGGTCTTATCCTAAATCTGAACTCCAGCCCGGAAGCATTTCATTTTATTAGGAAAGTGCTAGCACCTTGTGCCAAAACATTTTCCATTACCCCAAAAGGTCACTCATGCTGCATGTGTAATGTTAGTTTCCTCTCTGTGTGACCATTTCTCACCTATGGAGAAATCAGCAGCTTGGCTCCCAGTCACATTTCCTCTTCACTGTTAGTTTCCAGCAGCAGAGCGGTGACATAATCAGAATGAAATGTAAGGAATATAAAGGAAGACAGCCAAAAGGAAAAGAGACAGAAATAAATAGAAGATCAGAGAGAGCCACCAAGGTAAAAAAAAACAGAAAGAGAAAACGAAATACAGCCAGAAAGAGAGCTGGAAAAAAGACACTAAAAAAGAATAAGAGAAGCAGAGATAAAGACAACTGGAAAGAAAGAAAGAGAGCGAGAAAAAGACAGTCAGAAAGAACGATAAAGAGAGACAGCCAGAAAGGAACAAGCAAAGATGACCAGAAAAAGGAAGCCGGCCAAAAAAAGAATGAAGAACCCAGAAAAAGAAAGAGGCAGCTAGAAGGAGAAAAAGAGAGAGAGGAAGAGAAAGAAAGAAAGAAAATAATGTCTGTGCACAGCGAGCGAGAGAGTAGACAGAAAGAAAGAAAGGAAAGAAAGAAAATAATGTCAAGAAAGAAAGAAAGAAAGAAAGAAAGAAAGAAAGAAAGAAAGAAAGAAAGAAAATGTCAGTGCACAAAGAAAGAAAAGAAAGAAAGAAAGAAAGAGAAAATGTCAGTGCACAAAGAAAAGAAAGAAAGAAAGAAAGAAAGAAAGAAAGAAAGAAAGAGAAAGAAAGAAAGAAAAAAGAAAGAAAATAATGTCAGTGCACAAAGAGAGAGAGTAGACAGAAAGAAAGAAAGAAAGAAAGAAAGAAAGAAAATGTCAGTGCACAAAGAAAGAAAAGAAAGAAAGAAAGAAAGAGAAAATGTCAGTGCACAAAGAAAAGAAAGAAAGAAAGAAAGAAAGAAAGAAAGAAAGAAAGAGAAAGAAAGAAAGAAAAAAAAAATGTCAGTGCACAAAGAGAGAGAGTAGACAGAAAGAAAGAAAGAAAGAAAGAAAGAAAGAAAGAAAGAAAGAAAGAGAAATACAGCGATCATAAGAGAGTGGTAACTAAAGCAAATGACAATCAGAGACAAAGAGAGAGACAAAAGCTAAAGCTGAACTCCAGACTGAATAAATGGTCTAAATACATGCGTATTCTTACATGAGTCTTTGTGTGCTTTGTGCATGTCTTCAGGATCTGTGCAGTAATCCAGTGTGAAAGTTTGTCTCTGAGTAGGAGTTTCGCTTATTAAAGACCAGTCACTGTTGCTCCATGCCTTCTTGAAGGTGACTGGTCTTGTATCCGCCCCCTCTTGTAGTTTTCTGCAGGTAGCCTGTCATAGGTGGGGCTTACTGGGTCACTCCCACAGCTCTGCTCTCTGCACAGGCTGTGTAAAGACAGTGATGATGGAGCTGCTAATTTAACAAGCTAGTATCTGGGTTTGCAAAGGCATTTGGTGTACAACGTGGATTTTATCTTCTGTGGCTATTGAAGAATGTATGAACGTTCATGTGACTGGAATTCAGAGAAAGAAAGAGCAAGTCAAGGGATAAAAAAAAAAGACCGGCAAGAAGAAGAAAAGCCAT